CGTTGTTTTGTTGAACACCGTAGAATTCGAACATTCAATGCTTGTCGGGATTTTCGACAATAGGTATAGGTTGGAATCTTGCTGGTAGATGATGATGTCTGATGACCCAGAGGTGTTAGGACCCAATCAGAAGGTCCACCCAGGACTTTTCATTTTTTTTTTAATCTTGGAATGGATAACCTGGTAGTGTTATGGCTCTCAGGCTTCTTACGAATTTCTTATTGTTGACGGCCGTTCCCACAGAAGTGCGCCCACACTACTTATGCGCCTCGTGGTCCATTCAGAACCGCAACCCTTATGGAAGATTAAACCACTCTCGTTTGAACAGTCCTCCCCATGTCCCAGTGCATTAATTCTGGTCGGTCCACACTAAAAAGGGAAGCACTTGGCCCGAGTTCTGCTCTTACTGGAGCTTACTGACAGTGTTACCCTTGGCCGTGCTGGGATTTGAACCCCGGACACGTGGCATGAGCAGCGCACGTCACCACTACACCAGCGCGGGGTGGACGCGCGTGAATTATCACGTCTGAACGACTAAGTGGTATGCTTGGCCTGCATAATCCCTCGAAAAGCGACCCAATAAGTGTTCTGAGTCTTCTCCTGACTGAGAAGTCTGACAAGCGGTTCGGTCGATCGACACAACTTGATTCACGAGTAAAGTTTCTCCTCCAGTTGGCTTTACCAATACGGACGGCGCCCACTGTTTCCTCCTAGGATCTCATTTTCCCACCGGACGAATTCACAATGCTTCCGAGGCACTGATCGTCTTCCACATGCGGTGGCCACGTCCTTGATTCATAAGGTCGGACAAATCGTCAAGCTGGTATCACATCTGAGCCACAAATGTCGGAGGTCAGCAAACGCTGCCCTGACCTTCTCTACTAGGGAAGTGATCTTGTCTTTCACCAATCTATCGGGACTGGTACAGCTGCTCGGATAGACGAACTTGTCTGCCACGTCGATTGGCTCACCTGCAAACATGAGATTTGGGTTTGATCCAACACAATCGTGCAGCAACGCGTACACATTACAGATGCGAGGCGCAGCAGAATTATTTGGGCTATTCAAAATATTTTGCATTTCTGCAGATTCTGATCCAAGGATGGCAGTATCGTTAGCGTCCTCAATGTCCGTGAGCGAGGTGTTTGAGGCAGGTACGGAAGACTCAACCGGCATATCGATTTCTAAGTTGAGGAGAAAGAGGGACAGAGGACATCCTTCCGTGACATCACTGGATATGATGAGTTTGCTGTGGACGTGCACGGGAAGAGACATAAAGCCTTTGGAAGGGACACCCTTCATCGCCGGACACTGCCAAAGTTTTTTCTACCCTTGTTAGTCTGTCTTCATCCCAGATATTTTGGACCAAAGTAGTCTGGTTGGCTACAAGGGGTTCACCACCTCGATGCAAACCGTCTAGGCCAATGGCTTGTTGCACTAAAGCAGTGGAATTTCACACTGAACATTTTCTGTCGATGGCGACTTGGTAATGGCGTTCCATTCATCCCAAAAAATCAGCTGTTTGTCTCACAAGATAGAAAGCAATTTTCATGTGATTATTTCGCGTACTGTAGTTTGAATAAGATTCATTTATGGAGACTGATTGGTATAACCGCACGTCCCACTGAACCACAAGTACATGTGTATCTTTTTGAGATAATCGATATCGGTCCGCGAGTACTGTTTACGTCAGCACTGTTTTTGTTTCTCAGCTGTGTAAATCCAGGGTTGTTGGTGAATTAGAAACCAGGCACGTGGATACATTCCCCTTATTTCTCTCAGTCAAAAAGCAACACCTTCTGTGGATACAATCTACCCTCTTGGAAGAACGTGCATCTCCAAATTGGAAATGTCGCTTTGTTGCAGCTGCCTTAGGTGGAAGAACTATGGTGCATATATTTTGTTCTCTAATCCGGTCGAGGAAGGACTTAATGAACTTTTCTGGCCCTATGGACTCGTTTTGCATACGTGGTACCATCTGACCCAAAGCTTCCACTCGGGATTTCCCTATAGTTGATCTCTGTACCAAGGAACTGTCAGATCATCTGCTTCCCGTTTTTCTTCTGTTTGTGTTCATGTCCGACGCCTACCTGATGAACCCCAAGAAGCGTAGAACCGGTCGTGTCGAAATATTTTCAGCCACCCTATGAGTAGTATATTGCGTTTGTATTGTGCAATTCATGTTTTACAGTTACTGATTTTGAAAGGCAGTTATGTTAACTGATCGATCCTGAACGTAGAAAACATGTAATTAGCCTTAGGACAACAACAGCAGTCAGCATAGCAGAATAAAAAAACAGTTCAGGTAACCTGCTTATTATGATTCGGTGATCGACCATGACACGCAGTCCATCACCAAGCAGATTCAAAACACAACTTGGACGATCGACCGAAATGGTCAGTAAGTCAGTGGGAATTGGATGTACCGTAGAATGCACTACTGTTCGCAGTGAAATGACCGAACAAGCACTCTCCTGATTGGTGGATTACGATCACGAAGAGGATGATAGCAGCATGCCGTAGATGACTGATAGATACACCGTATCACACTCAACTACAATGCGAGAGTAGAGAACACCATGTGACTGTCTTGTTCCAGCTTTGTCCGTATCAGTGGCCACCCCCTTTGCATACGTTTTCGTTCCTCTTCAGATTCGAGTACCGACTCATCCAGATGCGTCAGCAATCTATTGGGAATTCGCCACGGATAACTATGATCTCGGATTTGGATTGTATTTCGAATGGAATCTGGATCCGCCGAGCACCATATCGGTGACCATCTCGGAGTCAAGTGATGAAGAGGACGAGGAGGATGAGGAGGGTCAGGAGGGAAGCGGATCAACTGTGGATGAAGAAACCGGGCAGAAGCGCTCCTTTCCACGTGGATTAGATAGTGGTAAGTTAGTGCGATTTGTCTAACGAATCTCCGATCACATATAGAACAAACTGGTAAACATCGGATAATGGGCGTAAATAAGTTCTTTCGGGCAGAAGAAAGCTGTTAATCCCGGTCCTGTTTCACTTGACTTGCCGCGCACTTTCCTATTATGAGCATCACTGTTTCGGTTTCGATTTTTTGAAACGTCCTAGCATAACAAGCAACGAGGTGATTTTAAGTACAAACTGCACGTTTGCCCGCCTATCTCCTACTCCTGGGTTACATCCGCGCCAAGAACTTGTGTGTGGCACCCAATTCGGTTTTACACACACAA